TATATAATATTAAAATTCTTAATAGTATTATCAATTATTTAACATTTTTTAATTTACTTCTTTAAATTTATATATTTAATCATATTTAAAACTTTGGCTAAACATTCTTGTTCCCTATTTAAGTACTAAAATTATATTATTATTCTTAATTACTCTAATCCATCATCATCCTAATTAAATTCAGTATTTGTCTTTAGCATTCTTTAATTATCACACATTTAAGGTAAATTTGTATTTGTTATCGTCAACTATTACAAAGTATCAAAGTCTTATTAGAAATATCGAATAGATATTCTGCCTTTATTCTATTTCTTTGGTGAATGGAACCTATTTTTTCCCATTAAAATTATCTATCTTACTAAATTCTAAAACTGATTTCTTATTAAATTACTCCTCTTTAATCTTTTATAAATCAAACCTTAACAAAATTTATATTATTTTATTTAAGGACATAACTATGTCATCTTTGAACTTAACTTATCTAATAATTTTTACACCTAAAATGAATTTAACTTCAAAACTATTTTTAACAATTTCAACAAAAAGTAAGCATTTATTATAGTTAATAAAATATAACTACAGATTTCAATAAATTTTAAATTGTATTACTCACTCTATACGATTAAAATACTAAAAATGATTGTTTCAAGGCATATTACTTACATCAAACTTTCTAAATTATTAAATAAAGATGCTTTATATGGTTGAAGTATTAATACTAATTATTAATAAACTAATATAATTAATACTACAAAAGTAGCTTTCCAAACAATTTAATCCTGAAACTATAAAAACACAATAACTAATAAGAATTTTTAAATTAATTTGCAATACTCCCAAAAATAAAATCTACTTTTATAATTTAAATATAAGTAACCAAACATCATTTTAGTTTTTAATAATGTTAACTAATGCTTTCTTTTAAATATTGCCACAAAATCTACTACTAAAAGAAGTAAAAATAATGTAAATATTGGAATGATAAATTGTAAAATCCATTGTGTATGTTCTTTTGTATCAAATAAATATGTAACATCAGCAAGAATCCATTTTTATCCTGCTATTTCCCTGTATGATATTAAAGATATCAAACATGAAAATATGCTAGGTGAATAATAAAGTTTGCAATACTGCAATGAATTATAAAATAAGTGTTAGCGAGTTTCACTCTCTATTCTTAAGATCAATAAAATGAAAACACTAATTATTATCAAATAAAGGATAGGTGAAAATAATTAAATAATTGCTCTAATGTATATGATATTAAACGCAGTCTCATAATTAGACCAAACACAGTCTAATAAAAATGAAATTGACTCAGTAGGATTTCCTAAAAAGTTGATTATAGAAGATAATTATATTGGAATATTTAATTACAACATAGTTAAATAGAATATAATTTAAAAATAATGGAGAAATATTTTGTTACAACTAATTGTTGAAAACCAAAAAACTCTAAATAATTTATTAAAGTCATTTTTAATAATAAAGGCAGTTATTCCTATTGCCAAGATATTCCTATATTAAATAATAATGATTATTACCATATATTTAAGATTATGTAATAGAAGATAGTATAACTTTAACTTGAACATTATTGACAAGAATATTTAAATAGATTTTAAAATTTTTCTGATCCTCTGGTACCATAAATATCACATTATTCACATAAAGCTCCTACATATCCTCCTTCACAACTATCATCACCTGTTTCCCAACCTCCTTTACATTTTGTCTGAGAATATGCACATTATAAAATATCATCAGAATTTTAATGAAATCTCCAAAAACCTTATCTAAGTCTTAACTATCCAGAAGTCACTTAAGATGTAGTTAATTCATTTCTTTTTGAACATTTTGTAGATTTGATTGTTACAGAATATAAATCTTAACTGTAATCACAAACTCTACATTAATCATTTTCAAAAATTTCTCCAATTTTACATGGAAAAGTCTTTATTTTAAATTAAAGTTAATAGTTATTCTCATTAGATTTTGTGGAATTTAAAACTTTAACACAATCACATCTAACTTTTAATTCTAAATATTAATCATTGTAAGGATCGAATTTTATAATTTAATCATCAAAATAAAAATCTTATGATGATTCATTGAACTTAGTTTTAATTAAAATTTATTAATTATCACTAAACATTGTACACGATGAATTATTTAGATTTCTCATTATATCATTTTATCTATTCAAAGCAATAACTCTTAAAGTTAAATTTGAATTTATAAATTTATTTTACTTTTAATCAAAAAACTGATATTAACCAATTTATTATCCTGTTGGAAAGTATATATAGTTTGTAATACTTTTATCAAACATAGTATAATTGCTAATCTCTATTTGATCTAAATGAATCGATTCATTAATATAAAATTCTTAGGGAAATAAGATATTCTTAAAATTATCAACAATTAAAGCTAATTTTGATGGAATCTCTACAAAGTCGTTCCCAAAATAGATTGCATTATTAGCTTTAAATGCCTTTTATTCTATACTTATTGGTAATTAGATATTTGTAAAAATACCTCCTCCTTAATTTGCTTGATTATAAGAAATTTAAGAATTTTAAAGGATTAAACTGTTTCCTTCATAAAAAATAGCTCCTCCTTATTTAACTGCTGTGTTATTTAAAAAGAAAGAATCTAATATACCCACCGAAAATTAGAAAATCTACAAGCATCCTCCATATTGAGCATTATTCTCCAAACAATAATAGTTTTATATAGAGATACTTTTTGATGTTAATATCTCTATTTACTGCTTTGTTATTGGTTATATAGTAATACAAGAATCTAAACATTAATTTTTATTACTGAAAAGAGCTTGAACAATAATTTAGGCTGATTCTCTCTATTTCACTAAACCTTAGATATTAATTAATTAATTAACTTAATTTTTCAATAATTTGATATTTCTCATAAAAATTGTTTTCATAGCAGCTTACTATAGAATATAGATTAAAGTTGATTTAGATGATTCTATTAAAAAGTTTAATTCAGTTTAAATGCAAATTTATTGATGTGAATTTTATGTTTGATTCTATAATGAAAAACAATCAACTTAACCAAATGAATCAAATTTACATATTCTTTTCATACTTTTATAATTTAATAAGTTTTATGTATTCATGATCTAAATGTTATTTAACATAATATCATTATAGCTTAAAATATTAAAGAGATATTGATTGGTAATTTTAGCATTATCAACTTATAGATTTGCTAAGATGGTTTCAAAAGATTATTCTACTGTTACTATGCCTTCTTATGCTAAATTTAAAAAAAAAGAATTGTTTAATTCAATTGAACACATTTTAATATTAATTAACTCTCTCTACTTAAGAAAAATATTATTAAATTAATCCTAACTTTCAAATCTTAAGGTTTTAAAGTAATTATCATATTTTGATTATTCTACTATTATTTCTGTTAGACTTAATTTACAAAAGTATTAATTCGAATTTATAGAATTATCAAAGTATAAAATTGATCCTGAGTTTGCAAAATTATCTTTAAAAATGGAATTTTAAAAATCTATCTAAATTTTTTAATATATTGATGATTTAATAAAAAGAAATCCTCCTAAATTTTCAGTAAAAACTTAGATAACAGTAATATTTCTAAATTTTAAAGATAATTCTTACGATTATATCTCCAAATATAAAGCAGCTCCATATGATAAAGAGTTTCCAACTAAATTAGATAAATTATTAAATTAACAATTTGTTATTAATATTGTAGAAATATTTTAACTACTTATCTACAGCCCCCCTCCATAAAATCCTTATGAAGTGTTGAATTGAACTTCATTTATTAATAAATTTGAAGTTTTTAAATATCCATTTCCAGTTTGGGAGTAAATTGATGTGATAGAATAAGTTAAATCTTTTACAAAATAATAGAGTGTTGTGTAATTTATTACATTATTATTATTAAAACGCGATTGAGAAATATTTAAATACTTTGTATTTATATAGAGCAATGAGAATGTAGAATTCAAAATAATATTATAGTCTAGTTTTGAATTTTTTAATGAGAAAATTCCTCTTGGAGCTATTACAACAATAAGTAAAGATGATATGGTATGAGATTCTTCCAAAAATTCGTTTAATAAATTAGCTTGGAATAATAGATCAGTAAATTGGATTGAAATCTAATTTTAATCAATTATACTAATGAATCCAAGTGGTTCTTAATTTAAATTCTTGAGGATTAAGTTTCTTTCGAATTTAATTTAATTTAATATTACGGTTTTATACTAAATCTCTGAGATCAAACTCATCTTTTAATCATATAAAATCTGCAAAATACCTTGGTTGTATAGAGTCAAATTGGAAAAAACAGAGTTTTGGATATTAATATTAATCACTTGAAAGAAAGTGATAAGAGAATATTCCTGTTGAAATTTTTTATTATTTAAACAAACAAAACTCAAAAACTACTCTCTTTCTTTTGATATTATCACTAAATTATCAATATTTACTATGTTTGAATTAATTATTGTTATTTCTGGTAAATCTTCTTCTCTTAAAACTATTAAGTTTTGAATTATAATATAATCACCTGATAATACTATTTTATTTTTGGAGACATCGATATTATTAAATAGTTCTAATTATGTCAGTTCAGCATTTTATACTTAAATGTCAATAAGTTACAGTTGCATAAATTTATTATCTTCTTGATATATAAATATAAAAGGATTTTACGATTCATATTTTATGAAATCAAATAATATTCTCTTCAAAATGAATTATGGATTTTAATTAGATTATGAGCGACTTATAAATAATGTGCTTGATTATAATAGATTTATTTAAGACAAAGTAATATCTTCTAATTCAACAAAATTATTTAAAGTGAAAAAAATGGTATTACTTAGAATTGAATCTTAAAAAAGTATTTAAGTTACTTTAGTTAGAGAGAAATAAGTTAAATTGAAGAATGAAGATGAATCAAAAAGAAACATCTACAAATTCAGATTTTGTATTATTATTTAGTTATCAGTATTACTATTAGACAATTACATATGTGTAGAATTTTTGAGAACCATGTTTGTAATTTTTAGATTTTAGATTTAAATTCTGATTGAGTTTTCATTAATAATGTTAAATAAGATAGTATGCATGAAATTGCAATTTATAAAATGAACATTAGTGATAAAGAATTAGGATAGAGAATTAATAATTTTGATTTAAATAAATTAAGAGTTAATATTAGATTAAAGTATATTTATAAATTAAGTATCTTTAAATTATATAAATATTTAACTTTTAGCCAAAATAAGAAAGTCTTATTATTTTTTAAGTGATCCAAATTTGACATTTTAAAAGATTGTTCTTAATTTAAATAGTGAATCAATAATAATGGTTGCCTTTATAGTAGAAGATTAGATAAAAGTAATATTAGAGATCATAATATCTGTAAAACCTTCTAGTTTGTAATTTTCTAATACTGAAATCTCTATTTATTATTTAGAATACATATTCAGTTTAATTAATCTATAGATAATAAATATAAACAAATTACATAGCTGAAAATACATATTTACTCATACTTTATTAAAAGTACCCTGTTTAAGGTAAAATACAAGAATTTTCAAGACCATCAACAATTTCAAAATCATAGATAACTTCTTTAACAGTGTTTTTATTAGCATATGAGTAAATGTTTTGATTTTCGAAATATAAGAGATGATTTATTTAAGTATTTGAAGAAAATAAATCTTGAATGTTTATTTAATTTTTATCTGTTTGGAAACCATCTTAACAGTAAATTTAAACATTAATTGTAATTGATCTAAAACATCTGGATTGGTCAGGTTGATATTAGCAATCTTAATAAATTGAAAGATCTTGATCATAATAATATGATGTTGAGAATCCTTTGATACAAATATTTTCATATATATTTGTAGTACTTTAATAATAAGGATTTATATTCAAAATAGATGCTTAAGATCTTTTGATACAAATAGAACAATATGTGGGACATTCTAAACATTTATTATGAAATACTGTAAGACTTTTACCTAAATAAGTATAAGGGCAAGATTGACATACATTTTCATCATTAATTTTGATACATGATTCACAATCTATAGGACAACGTTTGATACATTTTCCATTGTATAATTCAAGGCTTTCTAAACAGTTAGTACATTTAACAGTGTATTATTCTTATACAAAAATTTAATTATAATCGTTATAGAAATGATTTGATTTAAAGCCTTCAACAAAATATTTATAAAATGCTCTTATTTGATTTCTATAATTATTATTAAACAGTTTTAGATTCTATTCGCACATTAAACAATTAAGTTCAGGAGGACATTTGATACAAACTCCTGTATATGATGAATAATATCCAATATTACACATTAAACATATCTAATTATTTTCAGTAACTTTCAGACAATCCGAACATTAATCTATTAAAGGACAATAATAAAATTATTAATAAATTGTTTATGATGGATACTATTGATTGTAAAAAATAAGACAAATATAATTGCCATATTAATCAAAAACTGATGATTTACACATTACATTTTAATTTTAAGTAAATTCGCATTGTTAACTAACAAAAGAGAAAGTAAAAACATCATCAAAACATCTAGCACATCCAGTCCTAACATTCTCATCATAATCTCTAGGTTCAAAAAATATATCTAAAGTAGTAATTGAATGATCATAATTTAAATACTAAAAGGCATATTAACAAGCAAACATTGTATTCTTTAAACAATCAATAGCATTAAACAATATATAATATTATTTTACATCAATACATTCTAAACATCTTAAAAAAGGCTCTTATTTTTAAAAGTTGAAATCAGGCTGGCAAATCTTACAATTTAAACCACATCTTGTACAAACTCCCAAATATATAGTAAAATATTAACCCAAACATCTATCACATTCTACATTATCTTTTATTTCATCATAATGACATTCAAGACAATCTTTTGGACATTAAATGCAATTTAATTAATTTTTTGTTTAATAGTAACCAATTTCACATTTTAAACAAATTCCCCATCCATTTTGAATTAAACAAAATGGGGCCTTTAATTTACAATATCCATCCCTAAATTAAAAATTTTATTTGCATTTAACATAGACTTTTTATCCCAAATGATATATTCCACTTAGGCTATAGCATTCAGAATCTTGATAAGAACAAAATTAAGCACATCCAACACATAATTATATTGAGAATGGTTGGTTAATTAAATATAAATCCTAAAACTCTTCCTATCTTTTAGTATATCTAAAAGAAAACAAACTCTACTAAAAATCCCAACTACAGATTGGATTTTTATACCATTCTTTTTAATTATTTATACAATCTTAACAATTAAGCATTTCAGTTCCAATTGGACTATTAATTCATATATATAAATATATATACCATTGATAGCATGAATTCATAAATTAAAAATATCCTAAATAACAATTTATGTCATCATTTTCATCAAACTTTTATCTAACAATTACAGATGTTCCATAATTATCTTCAAATAAGACACAACTTAATCCATCAGAAGACTCTAAATATCCAATTTAACACACACACACATTTTTTAAAGCCAAATAAAATCTATTGTATATTGGATCGCAACTCAAACATTAGTTATCATAAGGACCGAAACAATTATTACAAACAGGATAACAATCTAATTAATACTCTATAATAATACTTAATCCAAATAATTTATTGTCTTTATTATTATATATAAATTCAAGTTTTGATATCCAACCATTTAAAAAAGATTTAGCAAAAGTACTTCCTCCAATTTCAATACTAGCGTTAACATTAGAAAATTGATAAGGTTAAAAACCTACGTAAAAATTTGCTCCAATAGTCATTTCATTGTATGAAAAGTATATATAAAGTGACGATGGAATATTTTTATTTCCTGATTAGTATTATATATAATGCCAAGATATAAATTGTTTATAAATAAATGGGAGGCCATAATATAAACCAACCTCTTATCCAGAATATACATACGGTTCATATACATTAGGGTTCTAGTTAAATTATTAAGTTATAGCAAATTAACAATTTAATGGATCTTTGGGAGTTAATTAATATTAAAGTGTTAATATCTAATCTCCTGGAAATGTCTATATGAGATCCTATTCAGTAAATTTTAAATTTAATAGCAAAAATCCATAATCTTGCACTTATTCATTTAATTTTACCCAACCTTAAATTAAAAATGATGAACCTTCTATAAATATCGTTCTCTTCAAATTTTACTCTCCATCAAAATATTGATCATCTACTAATTATATTCTTTATTCTTAAGGTTCTAATCTTTCAAATATATAGCTTTAAATTATCTTTGAATAAAACTATTCATAATTATATCCAATCTTCTCAAACACTTAAATCACTAAAAATTCTGAAAATTTAGCTGTAAATGCTAACAAATTAAAATTTTAAATCTATAATATATAAAACTTATTACTTTTCCATAAACACCTAAATAATTATCAATTACTTTAGGGATTTAGAAATTTATTTAGTATTCATTATAAATAAAATTATTTACTGATTATTCATTGAACAAATAAATTTCTACTTTATTATCTAATGGATCTAATGCTACAGCCGTAAAGATCCAAATCCCTTCGAATTCATAAAACTAATAGTTAAATATTTATTCATGACTTGAATTAATCATGAATTTTAAATTGATCAAATTATTACTGTAATCCTTAATCAAATATAACACAATTTCAATTTCTTCCCCTTAAGATATAAAAATTAAATATCCCTTTACTTAAACATTTTAATCATAACCTTAATTTATTATATTACTTGATAATAGTTTTTTCATAGCAATATATTTAAACCAAAACCCAAAACCAGTTCTCTTATTTTCAACTTAAATTTTTAAATTTTAATAAGGATCAATATCATCTAATAATTATAAAGTTTATCCAATTTTTTATGCTGACAAGGAAAATTGACAAAATAAAAGAATGAACAATAGCCAAATATATTCTAAAATTTTCATCATTCTATAAATATATTTTAAATAAACAAATAAATAAATTTTGCTAATATTTAATACATATTTCATATTTTTTCATAATAATTATATTAATATTTAAATTTTATGCTCAAGTATTTTTCGTTATTTTTACAGATTTGTTAGTATTTATTTATAATAGATTTAAGTTATATCTAGCAATCAATCAATAATATTGAGGTTATTGAAGAAAAATTGTCCTTTTAGAGGAATACAAATAAAATTTAATTGGATGAAAACAATAGTTATGGTTATTAATTCTGGTTCAAATTTAATCTTTAGAATTAGAATACTTTTCCAGAGGTATTAGAAAATGAATTTATCACAAATAAATACAATAGCTTAGAAAATAATAATGGCTTTTTAATTTTCTCTGAATGGGATTCACTTACAAAATAAAATACTGTTTTATATTTTTTATAACCATCCTTTTCAGGAATACCTTTTTGTACTTTAAATGTTATATTGTTCCTTTCAAATTAACAAAGCAGTGTTTATTAACATTATATTAAATTTTAGTTTTTAGAAGGAAATTGGATTTATACTCATTTAGGATTTCAAAGAAACACAAATTTATTTTAATGGTTCATATATACTCCAGAGACTGAAGAGTTGTAAGAATATAATTTTTAAAATTTCGAAAATTTTTTAGATTTAGTTGAAACAGTAAACATTATTGGAGGTAGTGGAAAATTTCTTTACTACTCCCAAAATATTAATCTTAAACATATTTAAGGAAAATTCTCTTCTGTCAATTTTAGTAAAGGAATTTTAAGTAAAGAAATAACTTTGTCTTGGTTACAATAGATTTAATATCCTAATTCATGTTTAGGAATTAATACTGACATTTTATTTTATAATTAGTATCTTGATGGAACATAGTATTTATCAAATACTTTTTACTTAAAAGGAAAAAGATTTATAATTCGAGGATGGAACAAAATAATTATCAATAAGGTATATTTTTAATGATTTTAGAACTAATATTTTGATTCTCATATATAAATGATAAGAATTACTGTAAATAAGGATTATACAGATAATAGCTATATTGGAGATAAGCTATTTTAATTAATCTATGTTCTTAATTCAGATTTAAATAAACAATCTGGAGTTAAGGCTAATATTTAAAGGATTGTTCAACCCTTTTAGACACTTTACTAAAACTGGTAAAACACATTTTTAGATAATTTTATCTATTATGATGATCTAATGTTAAAAAGATTTTCTAATTGGTTTTATTTTAGTTTTGAATAAGGAGGATTTAAAGAATAATTTTTTTAACTTTTTTTCGGTTTTGATTTTTTAAGTTTATCATATGACTTTGGACATTTTTATATGCCTGAAAAAACCTATTAATTAGCTGATGTTGAACTTTTTATTTTAATTGGAGGTGATAAATTTTCCAGTAGATTTTATTATTAAGGATATTTATAAAATATAGAGATTTTGACATGCCTTACTGAGGAGTAGTTATATTAATAAATTCATCCATATTATAATAGTATAAATGAATAAATATTTAGAATGTCATGGATAATGTAAAACTTGTAATGGGCCAACTGAATAAAATTGTTTTAGTTGTTATGAATATTAGAATAGAGAATATTATATTGGCAAAAATATATGTTCTTGTAAATTTGGTTATTCTGAAATTTCAAACTCTTTTATTTGTTCTGATATTTATAGTTTTCTTTAGAAAGAAATCAAAATAGAAAAAGCTTAATAAGAATGTCAAATTAACATTAATTTTGATGGTCTATAAGTTTGTTCAAGTTGGTATGTTATATTTTATAAATAGCCCTGAAATAAATTATAAATGTTATGATTGTATTTTTAGTCCTAACACTTGGATTTTAAATCCTCTCTGTACTAAAGATATTGTATACACTAGTTTAAGCAGTTCTTCGATGCTATTAAAAAATAGAGAATAAAAAGATTACACTTTATATACTTTTGATTTTGCCTTTGGCTTTTAAATTTGCGAAGGATGTGAAAAATTATGCGTTGAAAGTGATCAAAATTGTCACTAAATTTAGGGAAGATAACATTTGAATAAAAAAGTAATTATTAAATGCAAAGAAAGTTTTTATTTTTAAGATAATAGTTGTCAAATGTGTAAAACTTAATGTAAGAAATGTATATCATTAAATATTTGCTAAATTTGTTAGGATGGTTACTATTTAAAAGATGGAGATTGTTTTTAATGTCAATAGGCATGCTCAAAATGTATTCTAAATGATTAATAAAAAATAATATGTCTAGCTTGTATAGAAAATCATGGATTAATTCACGAATCTTGTATTAAATGTGGTTTGAATTGTATTAGTTGTGAACAAAGCATACATAAGGTGACTTCTATTAAATTTTTAAGATGTTTGGTCTGTTAAGATAATTAAAAATTCATGATAAGCTTTGATTAATAAAATTGTATTGATAATGCTATTAATAATTGTAAATATGGATTCATCTATTCATCATAGGATAGAGCTATAAATACTTTAATTTTAAATTAAGATTTAATAACTGTAGATACTGCTGTAATTGGATGTGCATTATGCAATGATTATTATGAATACGATATTAAAAATTAACTTTGTTAGTATAAATTTGTAGCAAATTGCAAATAATCTATTAAAGATATAGATTATGGTTTTCAATTTTGCTTAGTATTCACAAATTAGAAATTTTATTTTAATTACTCTCCTTCATTCATATTTGTTAATGATTATGAATGTGATAGAACACAAATATAATGTGTAAAATGTTTGTCTGTATCTTATTATCAATATTGTCTTTTATGTAAAACTGGTTACTATGCTGATTTGAATGGAATATGCAGAAAATGTCCAAAAGATATAAATTGTAAAAATTGTTTCATTTAGTCAAAAAAATATAAAGATAATTGGAAATCAAATATAAGAGCCACTTTTCAATATTTTTTTAATCATTATATAACTGATTTTACAATATTTCGTAAACTAAATTCAGAACCAGATGATGAATATGAAATTTTATGTTATGATTGCTGGGAAGATTATGAATTCTATAATGGATTATGTATTTAAGCATGTGAATGTTTTAGATGCGTTAAAATCAATAATTAAAATATTTGTGAAGTTAGCCCTTTCATTTAAGATTATCATTCTTTAACTATAATAGATGGTAAATAAATAGATTGTTCAACTTATTGTTAATTTTGTTATCCAATAACTTATGAGGAAATGAGAATCATAAATCCTTATTTTAATAGCCTAAAATTTTCTTATTTTTCCAATAAATGTTTAATACCTAATTCAAAGTTTACTAATTTAGTTTATGATTCAGATCTTTAACAGTATAAGAAATGTTTTTTTCATTCTAATTGTTAAATTGAAATATCCTTTAACTACTTCTTAATATGTCAAGATAATTTGACTATTCAAAAAGAAGAAAAGTAAACTTTAATAACAATAAATTAATTATTTTCTTAAAATAGTTATCCGAGATTTTAAGAATTTGAAAATGATATATTCTATTATTATGCTAATTCATAATTGATAGAAAATATTGTTATAGATATTGAAGTTTAAGATTCTACTGAATGTTTACTGCCATCCTTTTCTTTATTAAATAATCAATTCTATACAAACATATTTTCCATAAAAAATGTTAAATTACATATATTCAGCAAATAATCCACTAATTTTATTGCTAATTAGTTATTTATTTAAGACTTTTCATTCATCTAAATAGATAATGTGTAATTTAAACCATATTTTTAGAATTTATTTATTTTCAAGATAGATTCTTTATTAAATTAATAAGTATTCCTTAATAATCTAAATTTTACTAATTAAAAACAATCAAACTAATTTTCAATAATTATGAATAATATCAAATTTATTCAATTCAAAAATATTTATATTAAAGAAATTGACACTTTTTAAAACCAAGGAATAATATAAATTTCTTAAGTCAAATCTTAATAAATAATTTTTTTAAATTTATTTCTAATAAATTCTGTAATTACGGAAACTTCTCTCATATCATTAATTAATGTTACATTTACTAAAATATAAATTGACAGTTTAAAAATTGAAACTTAATTTTATAATTCTCGTCTTTTCAATTATGAAAAATCAAATTAAAATGACTTTTTGATGTCTAAAATATTAATTAATTCAAGATTAATTAATTGTTAAATATGGTTAAATTTTGAGAATTAAAATCTTATACGATTAAGTGATTTACATATTCTTTAATGTTATTTAGTTAAAACTAAATTAATTTAATTAAGAGACAATACTTTAGTTTCTTATTTTAATGCAACTCAGAATTAATTATATGAATAATCAATTCTGTTGTATTTTCAAAATGGTTATTAAGTAAATAGTACTAATCTATTAATTCTAAAAAATATATTATTTTTAGAAAATTAGTGTTATAATAATTATTGTCTACTATTTATAGTTCAAGATCATGATTAATCAATAAACAAAATTGTTTTTACTAATTTACTTATATTTTTTAATTATAGATTACCTGAAAAATAAATTGAAAATATTGAAGAATATGAAACTTTAATTTATTTATCTTTAAAATCAATAATTATAGATGATGTAAAATTTATGAGAAATTTTTAATCTGATATTGATAATTAAATTCCCATAAATTAAATGTAAATTAATAATATAATTGCACTTAAGATAACCTCTATAAAAATACTTGAAATTAATCAACCGAATGTTTCTTTTTTGTATCAATTATATAAATGTTCTAAATTAAAATAGACAGCTATAACTAATAAACCTATTATAATAATTTAAAAATTTTAGAATCTTGAATTGAATTCTATTGATATTTCTAATGTCATTAATTTTAATTCACCAATTATTAAAATTTAATCATAAAAGTCAGCGTTGATATAATAAGATGAGTAGATTCTTATTTAAAATTTAAATTTTACTTAAAATTTATTATTAACTACTTAGTATTTTTACTCAAAATCTATTTTAGAAATTTCAAGTGAATAAAAATAAACTATCAAATTATAAAATTTTATATCATAATTTAATATTCTCCATGAATATATTTAAGATTATAGTATATCATCTGCTAATTTATTGCTAATAGAATCTTCACAAAGTGATATTTTAATGTAAAATTTATATTTTATAAGCAATATTGTGATAAATTCTAGTAACACATAACTCATAATTTACTCTAATACTTTGTAAATGATTAATTCAACAATTTTAAAACATAATTTAATGGATGAAACAATGATTTATTTAATTTTAAGCAAATAGTATGTTTTTGATGTTTCTGTCTAATATTTTGAACAACTTTAAAACTATTTCCCAATTATATCTTAAACAGGCGTTGGACAATTTCATTTTAAAAATCTAAATATTTAAAATGCTATTATAAACTAGACATTGGGATACAAAGGTAGTGTATTTTAATTTTATCCTAAAAATGGAGGAACAATATAAATAAATTAATCAAACTTTTTTAATATAAATTCATAATTTTTACTATTTGAAACAAAAGGAGGATGTTTCTACATCTTACTACCTTCATTTAAAATTAATATTTTAATTAACAATTGCATTTTTTAAAATGTATATACATAAAATTAAGGAGGCATAATTTATATAGAGTCAGTAATTGATCATCTTGTCAATTTAGAAATAATTAATGTTTTTATTCATAATATATTTTGTTTAACAGGTTCTATCATTTTTTTAAAATAAAATAAAGTAGATTTGAATACTGTTAGTAATTTGGTTTTATAACATGTTTAGATTTTTTAAGAAAAGGAATATTTTATGAACTATTTATCTTAATTTAAATTGATATCTGATGATTTATCTAATCAATTTTTTTCAAAAAGAAGTCTTATTTATGCAACTTATTCTAATATTTCTTTGTTTAATTTTACTGTTTAAGATATATTTTAAGAAAAAGTTTTATAATGTAGTTAATGTCAATAAATCTTAATTAAGGATTTATTTATTCATAAAGGTATAAATAGTTTTTCCTTAGTCTAAATAATATCTAATCAAAATTAAATTAGCATTTTATTTTCTAATGTTTAATTCCTTAATATAATAAATGAAATTGATTATCAAACAAATTTAATTTGTAATTTAAAAAATGATTTTCCAAAGTTTGACTTAAATTGTTTTACAAATGACTAAAAGGAAGATGGTAATTTAATGAATAATTTAATATTTTATTATGATGATTCTTATTTAAAAACCTTAAGAAGATGCAATTTTAATAAAATTATTTAACAAATATAAAATGAATAATCCCTGATACAAATATCATCTCAAGCATAAATATAATTAATAAAATTAGAAAATTGTTTGTTTTAGAAAATTTAAAGTCAGAATGCAATTATTCGAATTATCACAAAAGCTATTTATTCCAATTATATAAAATTTAAATAAATTCATATATCTGATAATTAATGTGGATACTTTGGATGTATAAGAATGGAATCTAATGAAAATTATTAAAACAGATTACTGTAAAATAATTAACAAAAAGAATTTGAAATTTTTGGAGCAGAAATTAAAATAGATTAAATGTTTTGTTTTAAAAATAATGCTTTAAATGGTGTTTGTTTAAACATCGAAAATTTATCGATACATATTATTGATTCTCTTTTTTTTAATAATACAGCTTCTGAATATGGAGGAAGCATATATTTTTCCTCAATTAAATCTGATTAATAATTACTTTTTAAATTTTGTTAATTTTATTAGAATTAAGCTGAAATAGCAGGTGCTATTTATTCCAATAGTATAATTAATAGCAAATGGATTAAGGAATATAATTATTTCGATAAAAATCGCTGTAAACTATATGGTTCTTCTATTGTTTAACCTCCAATAAAATTAGGGATCACTTTTGATAATTATGAAACTATCTTTTATCCTATAACGATATATGAGAAAGAAAATTTAAAAGTAGATTAAATTGAATTTAATAAAAACCCTTTACAAAATTATTATAATTTACCTAGTGGATGCGAATTAAATAAATATTAAACTGTAACTGAGGATAATTTATATATTAATAATCAAATTACTTTTCGTTTAATGGGATTCGATTCAAATGATGAAATTATGAAAAATTTAATTGGTTCATCATGTATCATTTATGATAGAGTTGTTGATCTGCAAAAAGAATAAACATAATTATAATTATCTGAACTTTTTTAGTCTGCAGTTAATATTAAATCTATTTAATTTAATAATGTTTCAAAAGATTATAATTTGGACACTATCATACTAAATAGTAAAACACTCAATAATAGTATAAATTCTGTCACATAGTTGATTTTTTTTTGTCCAGGCATAAAAAGTAAATTTTATTACATAATTTTAGCTTAAAAAATTAATTAAAATTATCCTTATGAAATAATTTGGACATAAGAATAATATTTTTTATAAATAAATATAATAACACTTGATTGTTAATTAGGAGAGATTAAAAATTAATTAACAGGAACATGTTAATAATGTGATGCTTCTTAAGGCTATTATTCAGTAGTACTTAATCAAAATTTATGTGATGTTTAAGATGACAAAACAACTGCTGAAGTTAAATCTGCTTCACTTAAACTCCTTTCTGTATAATAATTAAAATATTTAATAGGGTTAATGGAGACCTGAATATAATAATAGATATATCACTTAATGTTCAAATAAAATAGAAAATTGTAAAGGAGGTTGGGATGTCGGATATGATTCATGTGAAACTGGATATTTTGGTGCTCTTTGTGAATAATGTGATATTTATAATAGAAGAGGATAAGGTAAATATTCAAATACTGAATCTTATTAATGTGGAGAATGTTAACCAGATTATTAATCTGTTCTTTATGCAATTTTATTAAATCTATGGTATTTGTTTTTATTTAATTAAGGAATTTGTTTTCTATTATATTCTCTGTCAAGAGTGCTTAAACTTCAATCATGAATTAAGTAAACAAAAAAAATCAAATAGCAGTAAGTACATTTCTAAAAATATTTATTAACTATTTTTAATTATTATTTGTAGTGTCAACATTTTAATTACCAATTCCTTATTAGATTACAATACTATTAGGATTTATGGGAAATCCAGTTAGAGTAATTTCTTATTCATTAGATTGCTCTTTAGTAGACAAAATTGAAATAGACATCATTTATCTTAGAATGATTTAGTAGATCTTATACCCTTTTATTTATCTTTTTATTATGTCAACAGCCTATATAATTTATACAGTATACCAAAAGATTAAAATCAACTTTAGCTATTTTTATATAGCCATATCATATTTAGTTTTATATTACAGCCCCTAAATATTGAGTAGTTTAATAAACATTATGTCTTTTAGAAGTATCTCTAATATTAGTTGGGTCTAAGCTGATGTATCATTTCAATATGAAACAAATACTCATTATTAATGGATTTATATTTTATGTGTTCCATTGATTATATTTTTATTATTTTCAGTCAGTAGTCTATTTTTCTTACTTTTCAATAAGAGACACAATTTAAAAAAGATTAAATCTCTCTTGTATTTGGGATACTTATATTTAGAATATAATACTAGCTCTTATTTTTGGGAGTTTGTTAAATTAGTTCTAAAAATTTTGATTGGATTTGTTCTAACATTTTTATAGGAAAGAATTATAATTAAAGGTTGCATTTGCCTTTTGATTCTTGCATTATATAAATCCTTTCTGACTAAATTCAAACCATATAAGTTGAGAAATATAAATATAATAGATTAATAAGCTTCATTTATTTGTTTAGTATCCATTTTATTTGGATTGATGTTAAGATTAGCAGCTGAAATATAATTGAATTTCTTTCCTTAAATTATTTATATATTTTTGGCTACTCTTAACATAGCCTTCACATTATACTTAATTAAATTAATTCTATAATCATATATAAGACAATATGTAGAATAATTAGATGAATTAAAATAATTTATAAAAAGAACATTTCCAATATTATAAAAGTACAAATTGTGTAGGTAAATATTATAAGAATCTTCTACTGTTAGGAATAATGCAAAATTAAATTTTAAAAAAATAACTCAAAGTATTATATAGAAAAGTTAATTATTTAATAAATCTAAATTAATTTCAAAGTAGTAATAATAAGTAATATCTTTGGAATCTAAAATTTAATAGTAACCAAATGATGATTAAATCAAGACAAGTATACAACTTCTTTAAAAAATGGATTTAAAAAGAACTTTTTTTAATAAATAAAACTTATAGAATATGTAAAATGATGAAAATTGATTTAAAAAATTTAAAGGAAATTCAATAATTTTTTATGAATGTTATTACATCATATTAAATATAAAAATAATTATTTTAATTATATAATTTATAATTAATAAAATTAATTAATGCCTCTTATTACTCCTGAATTTTTAATTGAATAAGATGAAAAGCACATCATAATAAAACTTAGATTACCATATGTTAAACCTACCAAATCAGAATTCAGTATGATTGGTAAACAATTTAGTTTTTTTCTAAAGCCTTACTTACTTTAATTAACCTTTAATGAATTTCTAAAAGATTCAGAATAACCATCAAAAGCAGTATATGATCCAGAAACATATAGTCTAAAAGTTTATTTAGAAAAATTGAATTTAGGAGAAAATTTTACTTAACTTGATATGATTGGACTCCTTATGAATAAAAAATCAAAAAAAAATAAATAATTTTAAGGACGATTAATATAGGTTATTGAAAGTACAAACAATAAAAATGATATAAAAAATAATGATGATAATGAAGAAAACCAATAATAAGGATATGTAAACCCTTTTTGTTATGGATTCAATAATCAATATACAGATGTTTTTGATGATTTAGAGGAAGAATTATATGAAATAGCCATACTAGATCCTAAATAGATTTCTCAAGAAAATAGAAAAGAGATTGCACTCTAAGTAATTTTAAAAGAATTTGACAAAGATGCTTATCTGTTTGATTTATTAGAAAATGAATAAGTTGATGAAATATTAATTTATGAATTCTAAATTCAAAATTAATTCACTATAGAAGAAATTAATAAAATAAGCAAATTTGGAAAACGAGAATATCTAATAGAAAATAAAGAATAATGTATTTTAGGAATTTTAGATATTTTATTTGCATTTTTATATGAGAATAATTTGTTTTAAGGAGATTTAAATTAAGAATCTGCAATAACTATTAATCAATTAAGTTCTTAATTTTCAGCGTTTTATATAGAAAATAGTTTAGAAAATGTTTTGATTAATAATTATTAAAGAGCTCTAACCTTTCCAATGATTAGAAGTTTTGAAATTTGTGTTAAGACTAAAAACCTTTTGATTGAGGTTCTAAGAAATAAAATTTAAATAATTAAAATCTTGCTTGCAGTAGAAAGTTTATTTTCAAAGGCAAAGCCTCGAAATTATTTAAATTTAATTTATCTTTAAGATTATATTGTTTGGGCATAAAGCCTATAAGAAGATGATTTAAAAGATTTATCAAAGAAAATAAATAAATTAAAAATAGATAAATCTTAGCTCTAATTGAATATTCCTATAATTGAAAATGAGGCAATGTAATAATTTTAAGAATGAAAAACATTTTATTTTTTGTTTTAATATTTGAAATAATATTCACAATAATTCTTAAATCAAATTTAATTCGAACTCTAAAACACAAGGTCTATTACTAATAATTGTGGTTATTGTATCTTCTTAATTTAAGAATCCATTTTTCTGATTTTAAGGCTTATAATTATAACTCTTAATTAATTCTGGGTTTATTGGTTTATTTGTTTTTATTTCTAATTAAAATCCTTCTAATAAGCTTTCATTCAGATTTGGTCCATAAAATCCCATATTACAATGTTTTTAAAATTCTTTACCTTATTCAATTAATGAATTCCAATGATGGCAAAAGTTATGAATGAAGTCTTGTGGTTAACTTTCAAAAATAATTTCCAAATGATGGGCTTTTCCGAATTTCCAACCATTATTTTTTATTAACTCATTATATTTAGTCTTGAAATTTATCTATTATTTATACTTTCATTTTGATTTTATCTTAAATAGACATCTCATGTTTGTATTTTAAAGATTCAAAGTTTCTATAAAATGTACATTTAATATTAGTAATTGCAGGATTTTAAGGTATGTTAATTTTATATGATTCAGTTTTTATTTTATCATAATTTTTAAATGGACTAGCATTTTTTCCACTAAAATATGCTATTGCTTAGTTATAAATTCATTTTTACCTATATTCTTAAGATATAGTGTATATAAGTCATCAAAGTCTTCAAAACATTTTTTAGATGGAGCCCATAATTAATTATTCATATAACAATCACTCTCACATATTTAGTTGTCTGCTGCTTTTTTTGTAGTTTTATAATACAATTTTTACTTGAGTAATATTTCATTGATAGCATTTCTATAAATTTAAAGATTATATTCATCTAAAGAAGTAAGAGTTAAGAATTAATTATTTGAATTTTATATGGAATCATCTAATATCAATTCTTTTAAAATTCCTGGAATATCATTTTATATAAATTAAGGAAAATCACAAGTTATGCTAATTCCATTACCTAAATAAGTGTTATTATTTGTTAAATATCCATATTAATTATCCCAAGCATATTAATAGTCTTTAGGTATAAAGGAATCCACTATTCTTTGAATTTTCTATAATTATTAGGATATTGATATTTTTGTTATTGGAAATATAAATGTCAAATCATCATCAAGTTCTATTGCTACATAATATTCATAGCCTTTATATTTGTATTGAAATATGCCTTTTTCACAATTTCCATTTAAATTACATTCCTTTAAAATTTAATCTGATACTTACTGATTCTTCAATCCAATAATCTCTTCAATATTTTTTCTTCTAATTTTTAAATTTCTTCTCACTATTATAAATTTATTATTAGAATCTTAAAAATAAATAGTATCATCTTTCAACAATCCTACTAATTCTTTTAATTCACAAATTTTGTTGAATTTTGTTTTGTTCATTTCTTTTTATTTCTTCATATATCCTTCTAATCTTTTTTTATGAAAGGTAGCATAATCTTATTCATCTGATTAATTTTAAATAATATCAATAGCTACATGAGAAGGTGATGAAGCTGGTTTTTAAGGAGAATTTGAATGGTTTACTTCAATATGTTTTACATTTGGTAATGCTGATAATTGTTATTATTATTATTATTGTTATTATTATTATTATTATTATTATTATTATAATTGTTATTATTATTGTTATTATTATTGTTATTATTATTATTATTATTATTGTTATTATTGTTATTATTGTTAGATTTATATATCATTTTTAAATATCTTTTCAATTGTAATATTCTCAGACTTTTTAATTACACCTTCAAATAGTATGGTTAGAATTTAACATAATTATTCAATATATTATTTCATAGTTAATCCTGTGCATCTTTCTGATTTGATTGTAAAATACTTATCTTTTTCTTTAGTTTAAACATTAAATACTTTGTTTTATATTTTTGAACTCAAATTATTATTATTTGATTTAATCTTATTGATTGATTATGGATCTAATTTGAATTTCAAAGTAAATGTAAGTCCTAAACCACTAAATTATGGTTTGACTGTATGATAACCAAATTTATCATCAAAACTGACTAAATCTTTTGAGTCTAAATATTAGTTCATTTTACAACAAGTATCCATAGCATCAATAATGGATGATTTTTCAGTATTAAGAAACTTGAATTTAAGATGATCTTCTCTATTTATCCATACTATGTTTTATTTATCACTAGATTAAAGTACCATTCTATCAGATGGCCAATCAGGATGACGTAAACCTTTAAAAATTTGATTTATAATAGCTTGATTTGGATCTTTTTTCTTAAACAATTTATCATTAATTTATAATTTCCTAACATCTTCTTAGGCCATAGTTGATAAATCATTATGTAAGGAATAATTAATAATTGTTTATTTTGATAGAACTTAGAGTAATTCTTTAGTTAAAGCTTATCTATTTTAAATAGTGGAACCAAATCTCTATTTTGGAATATTTCTTCTAAGAACAAAAATAGATTCTTCTAAAAATGGTTTAACATCTTCTAATATAGAGGATGTTAGAGTATAAGACATATCTTTAATAGGTGTACCTAGATAACCTTTTTCTTTAACAATAGGATCAAAAAGGTCACTATATATTAGATATGAACTTGGATCAACAGCAAAAAGTCCAGGTTTAGATTTTGGATTATCTTAAATAAGTTTGCATATAGATCTAAAATTATTTCCTTAATCTGTAATTTTATTTTTGCAAGCATAAAATTACTCTTTTGTTAATTTTTTGATTGAACCTTAATGTTGAGATAGATTTGGAAATGGTAAACAAAGGATTGGTTATTCTACTTTTTCTCTGCTATCAATTTATATTCCTGCTTCTTATAATTCTTTAGGAGTACAATGAACTGTGCATAAATATTTAATCTAAAATTTAATTAATATAATGATGTACAATATATATAATTGGATTTTTCATTTGATGATAAGATAATGTGGTTACCAAATCTCCTAATATTTCTTCAATTTAGTGTTTATCTAAATAGGCTTTAGCTTTTCTTTAAATTTCTTATTATGCCATAATTTATTTTATAATTATAATTGTTGACTAAGAGGAAATAATTAAATCCATAGAAATTAACAGTGAACTCAATGACGTAATAATAATATGAATAAAATCTTTATTATTGGTTTGATTCTTGGTGTAAGCCTCTGTTAATAAAGAACAGTTATTGATAGATTGTAAGGCACTTAAGTTGTGGAAGAGAGAGAAGATGAAACTATATATAATATTCATTATTTTGATAATGAAGACCCAAAAGAAAAATATGAACAATTGATGAATAATTTGTTGAGTTTAAGTAAGTATTTATTTAATTAAGATCAAACACAACTTTTAACTTGTAAAAAGAGTGACAGTCATGAATTTTTTGGCATGTCATTTCAAAATGTTGGAAGAATTAACAATGATATAAGAAATATAAAACTTAAATAATTCGATGATGATTGTTACACTTCCATGAAAGTGAGTTATGAATTTAATGATGCAGAAAACAGTGTTTAAGTGACCTTTATTCCTGGAAAATATAAAAATGGAAAAGAATGCTCAGAATTCTATATGATTGGAACAACTTTAAATTATAACATAGTAAAAGTTAAGAAAGGTAAAACATTTTTTATATAAATTTATATAGAATAAGATCATAGAATTTATTTCCGTTTTAAAAATGAATAACAAAAGTAAGCATTTAGATTGGCTGGAGCTTATATTTTTAAAACATGTGATCATTTTGATTATTGGATAGGAGATTTGTTAACAACAATTGAATTATTTTTTGGTGGATTTTCAGCAAATCCTTATTTAGGATCAGTTTTTGGTAGTTATCCTCCAAATTGGATGATAAGATCAAATATTGAATTTATTGAGAAAGCAACAGGATATAGATGGTAAGAGAGACCAAATGTTGATGTTGATTGGTCAGAAGAAGAAGTTCATTAAGGAGATTTTTTGGCAATTACAAGATTTGATGGATTAGATTAAATAATAGAATGGGGAACAGGTAGTAGATCAGGACATAGTGCAGTAATATTTGAAATAGATGGTGAAAAATGGGTAGTAGAATCATAAGATGCATGGTATTGGCCTAAAAAGAATATTTAAAAGAATAAATGGGAAGATTGGAAAGTATATGCTAAAAATGCAGGATTTAATGTTGCAATATTACCATTAAGTCCAGAAAAAAGAGCATAATGGGATTAAGAAGGAGCATTAAAATTTTGGAATTTTATGGAAGGATAACCATATGGTTATCATAATTTTATATTTGGGTGGATAGATACACCAAGAGATAATTATCCAACTTTACTAAGCGCTGAATTAGCTACTTATATATTTTCATTTATAGAGAAATTTGCTCCAAGTATATCATCTAAAATGATTGGAGAAGGATTAAATAAGAGATTAGGAACTGAAGGTTTAACAATCCCTGAAATTACAATAGAAGCAGCAAAAAGAGGAATAGAAATTGTATATTAATTATATATAAAATAAGGCTGAATTATATGCAATGGTAGAGAAAGATGAATGGATTTATAGTGATGGACCAAGTTAAGTTTGCTCTTCTTTTGTTATTGGATTATATAAAGCAGCTGGTTTATTTGGATAATATCATGTAGAAGCAACAGAGTAATTTAATTTTAGTATTTTATAGATTTACTCCTAAAGATGTTTATTAATTGAATTTCTTTGATAAGAATTATGTTGTTCCTGAAAAATGTAAAAAAAATGATCCTGATTTACCATATTGTTAAATTATGGGTACACATAGAATGGAACTTGATGGATATAATACTATTGATCCTTATGAACATATGAATGAAAGATGTCCAAGTTAAGCTCCTTCTTATTTCAGACCAGATGATTGTTGATTTCATAATATTAATATTGAATTTATTATTATTTTATTAATAAATGTTAACAGAACTTATTATAGAAATTTGCGAATGTGAAAGAAGAACTGAAACTGTTAGAAAATTGCTTTCTTAATTATCTTAATTTGAACCTTATGCTGGTAAATCATTTTATCAAATTAGAGCATTCAAAAGAATGGACAAAAGTAGATGTGGTGAAATCTCATACTAAGATATTATTGATTTTATGCTTGATAATAACTGTACTCTGACAAGTTTAGAAGCATCCTATTTACTTTAGTATTTAGATTTTAATAGAGATGGAAGAGTTACTTATACGGAGTATAAATAAATATCAATTATTTAGTTTTGCTAAATAAATACTACCTAAAACTGATCTTATTCTTAAAGAAACAGCTGCTGCTAGAGATTCTTATTTCGTTTTAGCTAATAAAACATTACCAAATGAAGTTGAATGGGGTTTATACAAAATACTACATTAAGAATTATCTAATTTTAAACATCTCAAAATTATAAAAGAATTGTGTAAAGAATCTGTCTAATAAACTTTCTAAATTATAGATCATTATTAACTTGGTTATTTCACTTCATAACAGTATTTATATATATTATATAATTTATAGTTTAGAAAGCTATTTCAAAAATAACTTTATTCAATATGATAAACAAGATATTAGTGCTTTCTTTCATGCTTCTGATAGAGATGAAGATAATAAAATTTCCATTGTGGAATTTAATTATGTCATCAAACCATTTCATCCCTCTTAAATTTTAAAAGATAGAGAAAGAGCTTTCTACAGCACTCCTAAAAAATATAGAAGAATTGATAATTCACCAAAACCATAAAATTCATTTACTAATGTAAGATCAAAATAATTCATTTACAAAACTCCAGTTAAAGCAGATCTTTCTCAACCAGACTTAGAAATCTAAAAACAACAATTAATTTAATAAAGTGACTTTAATATCATTGATTTATTCTATCAACAGCCTAAAGCTACTCCAGAAATGAAATTTCGAAAATTTTGTAAGACTATTTTGCCAAAAAATGCACCTCCAAATTATTAAACAAAACCTATAAGTGCAAAAACATATTAGATGATGTTAAATATTCTTAGATAATGATAATTTTGATATAATTCTATATATATATAAGATTTCCTTTTTTATTATTTGATTAGTTACTGCTTCTCCAATCCTTTCTGATGCTACTTATTCAAATTAATCGATGATTTTTCAAAAATATTTTCTACTCTTTATTCTTTCTAAAATTAAATCATTAAGAACTTTTCAATTTTTTTCTTTTTATTAAATTAATGAATTTATTTTATTATAGAAAATTTTAACTGATTAATAAAAGTTTATTTTAAATTAAACCTTTTGCAAAAGCCTTTAAAAGTATATAAACTATTGATCTAAATTTAATTCATGTATTCCTTATTTAAGCTTTTCCGAAAAGAAAATGATATCAAAAAGTGATATTATCAAGTTTACAAGCCAATATTTTAAAAGATAATTTTATCCATTTTGATCCTTATTTAACAATACTTTTAAAGATTTAAATAATGGATAAAATTTTCTGATTGAATACCTAAAATATATATACGATAAATTACAAAATGAAATTCATTTGTATTATATTTAATAATTAATATGTTTGATGAAGATGATGAAGAATATGATTAAGGTTTTCAAGCTTAAGATTATCTTAATGAAAATAATGATGAATATAGTTATTCAATTTCATCAATTGAATAATTTCCAAAGACAGATATTCCAAGATTGAATACTAAAGTTTAAGTTGATAGATATAAGACTTTGATGGAATAAGATCCTGACACTAAAAATATTCCAAAAACATTTGGGAACAATTTTAAAAAGTTTATGGATAATCAATTAGAAATATAAAAAGATTATTTTACCAAGAATCCTCTTCCAAAAGAATTGATAATTTTTTTAAATAAAAAGAAGACTGGAAAATAAGCAAATTATACCATTTAAGATTTTAGAGATATTTTTTATGATTCCATATCCAATAAATGGTTTTAATTTTACATTGAAAATTTTTGTTTCTTAGATTTGATAACTTCTAATAGGATAGATGATCCAGAAAAATATATTAAATTTATAGAGTAATATTTAGCAGGTGCCAAAGATCCAATACATTTCATCTCAAGTCGCCCTTTAAAAAAACAAAGCAAAAATGAGAAAAAAAAAAACAAAAGAGATGCAAAATTGAAACAAGATGAATTCCTTGATCATTAAGATCTATCTATTGATTGCGAATATCATTAACCTTCTAATGATCATGAATTCGAGGATGATTCCAATAGATAATTTAGTTTCAAAGGTTATGTTTGTGATATTGGTGCTTAAAAGAAATATGATTATGATTGAAATCATATATTTTAAAAACATGTATATTGTTATTTATTAATTTAATGAATAATAGATAAAATGAATAGAAAGCATCAATTCAAAGTTATTCTTCTTTTGAATCATATGTTATCCAAGATGAACATGATGGAAATCTTAGTATTCATCAATTAAAAGAAAAGCCATTTTTTAATTTTTAAGAAGTAAAAGATTAAAATGGAGATACCAACTTAAATATTAATAGTAAAAATAACTAACATAAATAAAAATAACCTTATGAAACAGTAATATCTAAAAATATTATAGATTCAGGATTCACTCTATACAGAAGAAAAACTAGAATTACCTTCTCAATAACTGAGATAAATTCCGAAATTATAATAAAATTTTGTTAACTTAAAGTTATTGAATTTATCTTAAAACTAATTAACAACTGTTCCTCCTTAAATAATGTAATTGTTATTTAATCATTAATGTAGGAGAATGACAAATTTACAAAAATTAATTTTAAGTAGCAATCAAATTAATGTCCTACCAATATTTTTACAAACTTTAAAATTTTTAGAATATCTTGACATGTAAGATAATTTAATTAAGGTTTTTAATATAAATCCACCTGAACTGAAATACTTAAATTTATCGAATAACTATATTGAATAACTCTTTTTTCCTAATCTAGAGCATTTATGTATTTAAATGAATTATTTTACTATAATTCCAAAAGGATTTCATAAAGTATTGTATGGAATGCAATATTTTGAATTTGATTGGTTTAAATATTGTAAACCTGCTTTACCAATAAAAATTAATTTTGAAAAGTATTAGCACATAAAAGATAAATTGATATCTGTATTGTCATCATCAAGTCTTACTTTTGAAACCTTCGTTAAACTTTTGAGTATATCTGAACCAAATTTCTATTAAACGGATTATAAGTATTATGATAACTATTTTATAGATATAGAAACTTATTTTTTTAAGCAGGTTCATGTAATGAAATAGGAATTCTTTATAGTTTAATTTAAATTATACCTGAACAAATAAACAATTTAGATTTTGACTAAAATACTCCATTAAGTGCTTGTTATATTGAAGGGAAAACAAGGTAAAAATATACTTTTATAAAGATCAGTTAAAATATTAAAAAGCTTGGGTGGAAAATTTGCTCCTTAATCAATTCATGTTATTTGTTAAAGAGTAGATTTATAGTTTTTTAAAATAATTTTAAATCTAAATGAAGAAGATAATTAAATTACATAGCATACAGATTTAAATTTAATTAATTTTAGAAATATAGATGGTAATACACCATTACATTAATTATTTATGAATTATTCAAAGAATTCTGATGCTAAGGAAATGGCTAATCTACTATTATTATTAGGTGCTGATCCAAATAGTGAAAATAATGAAGGATGGAGTCCTTTAGATTTAGCTATCAGAAAAGGTTAAATTACTTCTATTTAATATGCAGCAGAATATAATAAAAAATTATTTTAATTGAGATCACATTAATAATTATTTGATTTCTAAAAAAAATCTGGGATTAATGAATGGTCTTTAGCTCATGTTGCAGCTAGTGTAGGTAATATTGAAATATTAGAATTGCTTAGTCAGGTATTTATTTTCTATATAAAAGATTAACATAGATTTATATTAAGTTAGTAAATGTAATAGATTACCAAGGCATTTAGCAATTTAAAGTTTAACTATGTTAAAAAACATGAGAAAATTAGAAAAAAGATGGATGATTCGAAATGTGTTGCATGATTCTGTTTCAGTTTCTTAAACAGAAAAAAATGTTTATTAAATGAAAAATTAGATTGAAAAAAATATGAATAAGAAACATTTGAACATAGTTTAAAAATTAATTGAAAATGATGAAGATAATATTGATATAGATGATAACTCTTTAAGAATAGCTAGTGAAAGTTCAATCAAAGATATAGCAAGTGAATCAGCTCCAATATTTTAAAGATTAGCTAATAAAGAAATTACAAAAATGCAAATAGAAAAATAAAACATGTCTAATTTAGATACAACTGATTTTGCTGATCATTTACCTGAAATATAAAAGCTTTTAAGAAATCATAATCACGAAGTTGCTATTTAAAAACTGAAATATGCATTATTAAGTGATATGCTTCCATTATCTGAAAGATTAAAATATAAAGACTATATTTAAGTGATTTAATTTAAAATGAGATATTCAAAAGTGGAAATGCAATCTTATTTAAGAAATACTCTAAATTTAACTTTAAGCGAGTTTCAATTGAAAGGCATTCCTTCTGATTAAAAATGTATCAAATAATCTTAAAATAGCTAAAATAATAAGAGATTTAATTAGTTTAGTAAAAGATCAATCAAGAAATGAAGCTTCTAAAATATAGTTTCATATAGAAAAGTTATAACTTGTTTGTTAGAATCCTTTGTTACATTAAGATTTACTTGTAAAAGACTTAACAACAATAAATGAATTGAGATAGAGATTGAGCAATAATCTTATTTATGATATAGTGAACTATGCTGAATCAATTTTCTAATTGAATGAATAAATTTATTATTGGATAAATACTAGTTACTAAAGATATGAGAAAATAATAATAAAGTCAAATATACCAAACATAATTAATTATGAATGTTTATAAAAGATGAGATTCGTAAAGAAGCTAAAAGGAAGAGAAAAAGACTATGATAATATTGAGTAAGATATGATAGAACCAGAATCATCAATATCTTCTTATTAATAATTTACTTATATAATAACACCCTTTTAAAATAGCAAACGATTCTGAAATTTTAAATTTTATTATATTATTTTATAATTTATACTTTTATTAAAAAACACAAATAACTTATGAATTATCATTAAGAAGTATTAAAATTGGGATTTAGTAATTAGAAATATCGATTGATGAAAATTCAACTCCGATTAGATTAAAATGGACAGGAAGAAATAACACTTGCTGTGGTGATAAAATATTTTATACAAACTAAAGTGCTAAATTTATTATAGTTCTAACTTTATTGTTTATTTAAGCAATTCTATATTAGCTTATATATGTAAGATGAAAACATATTCTTAGATGAAAATATAATATTATGAATTAATTCTATCAGTATTATCTATCTATTTATTGATTGCTACTTATTGCACAGATCCTGGAATTATGCCTAAGATTGTAATATGCTAATAAATATGTAGATAGTTTTATAAACATGAAGATGATATAGAAAAGCTATAAATACCATAATCAACTAAGAAAAAATAGATTTAACATGTTATTGTCAGATTAGAATCTCATACAATAAGATTAAAATATTGTCCAACTTGCAAAATATACAGACCTTCTAGATTATCTCATTGTGGATTTTGTAATAATTGTGTGTTAAGATTTGATCATCATTGCAATTGGATTGGTACATGTATAGGAAGGAGAAATATAAGATCTTTTTATTTTTTTTTGCTCACCCTTAATACTCAATTTATTTTAGAAATAGTTAAGCTCTCGATTATTTAATCCTCTATCTGTATATATTGTATAGTTATGATTGTTGCTTTAGGTTTGATAACAATTCTTATATTTGGTTTATTTTGTTATCATACATTTCTAATTTGTAACAACTAAACTACAAATGAACATTTAAAACATACTTGGACTTTAGATAGTGGGAATCCATATGATAAGTAAACAAAATTTATAGATATTTTAGGGGTTCAATCTCAAAAAATATTTGTAATATATTATTTAGTCATGTACCAAAACAAATGGTTTATTTAAATAAGAGATTATTTTCTTAGCCAATCCTTAAAACAAAAGAAGATAAATAATTCTAATAAGTTGAAATGTCCAAAATTAACTCATAGATTAATTGAGATGCATATGAAAAATTAATGTTTATGTATCAATTTTAGTATTTCTGTTATTTTTGACAAATTTATATTATTTTTAAAAATATAAAAACGAATAATGGAGAATAGAGAATTTGAGGAATTAAGTGCTAATTCTAAAAAATCTGATAGACATAAATCAACTCCAATATAAGCATATTTTAACTTTGTGAAATCTAATTTAGGGATCGGTATATGATTTTAAAACAAAATTTTGCAGGAGCTATTGTATTACCTTTTGTAACATATTCTGTTGGATGGTTTTGGTCAATATTTTTATTTTTACCAGTTGCTTTTAGTTGTGTTTAGTTATATATTCTAATATTTTAGATCAAGTATTTTATTGATTGCAGTAGCTGATCATTTAGCAGTAGATAAAATTTTATATGCAGATGTTATTCGAATAACTTTGGGACTAAAATGGGCATTTTCTTTAGATATAGCAATTGTATTACAATTGGTTGGAATATGCATAGCCTATTTAATATTTTTGACTGAATCTGTTACATAATCATTATTATCAATTGGAGTCGAATTTGAAAAATGGCAATCATTATGTATGACATTGATAATCATTTTTCCTTTATCTTATATAAAGAACATTCATTTCTTTCACTTAACTAGTAAATATGGTTTCTATGCTGCTCTATTGGGTTTTTTAGTAGTACTTTATGATTGCTACTTAAGGTTCTCTTAAGGATTATACAGTTTTGAGAATTCTGTAAATATTAGAAGTAAAATATTAAATTTTTTATTTTAAGATTCCTTTCATTATGTAGGTGTTGCAATCCTTTGTTGTGAAGGCATATTAACCATTCTACCAATTAGAGATAGTATGGTTAATAAATTAGATTTTAAAATGGTTGCAATAAATAGTATGGCTACTGCATTTGGAATATCTATTTTTATTGCTTTAATTGCTGTTCCAATTTATTAAACAGATATTAAACCAATTCTAATTTTCAATTTAGAAGTAATTATTAATAATTAAAAAGAATCCTTATCTACAATTTATTTCAATTGTATTTTATTCTATAAGTTTATTGTTAACATATCCTTTGTAATTATTTCCAGCTGTTTAAATAATTGAAAGAATGATTTTAGAAAAACAATCTTATCAAGAAGTTTAATAATATTAACCATAAATAAATGAATTTGAAAATAATTAAATTTAAAATGATAGTGAAAATGCTATGTTTGCAGATACAAAAATTCAAATTATAATAAGAACTTTTGCAATGATATGTATATATTTTATTGCATACTATGTTCCACATTTATCTCATTTTCTAAATTTTATGGGAAGCATTTTTGGATCTTTATTATAAGTAAAATAGATTTATTAATTTAGTTTTGTTTCCCTGTGCTAGCACATATGATACATTTTAAAAAAACATCTGAACCTTAACCAAAATTAACATATACATTTGTTTTAATAGTAGCAATATTAGCTATGGTATTAGGAACAATAGAATCCTTAAGAGCTATGTTATGAATATGTATTCATCAAATAATATTAAATAGTTTAATAATATACATATCTACATACAAATTCTTCAAAAAATTTTATTTGGTTATTTTCTTCTCTTTTTTCCAACTTTTGATGAAGGTAATTTAGGGAATCTCCATAAATCTCCTCCATTTTAATTTTTTGCTTCATAATATCCATTTTCTTTCCCTGAGATTTGGCTATTATACTTCTAAATTTATAAATTAATCCTTTTCTAATTTTCCTTACTTCTGTAGACATTTCAAGAATAAAATTTTTTCCTCTTTTTATAGGATAAAATTTAATTCTTGGTTATGCTTGTCCTTTTTATATTCAATTTTTCTTAAAAACATTTAAATATGAAAACTTCTCTGTCACCGCAGTTTTTTCATTATAAAAATATCTTCATGAGGTCAAGAAGTAAACATTTATTTAAAATGACACCATTAAAATTCTTCTTTAGCCATAGGAAATGATTATTAATGTTAACACGGTGCAATAATGCAACCTTTTATTTCAAAATACATTTTGTGAAATCATTAAAAATAAAACGAAATCCTGTTGGAGATCCAAAACATGTTAAAATCATAATTCCAGATTATGCTAAAAATCTTGTTTCTGGGTGATTTATTTCTTCCAATATAAGTGATATACTTATTAAATCAAAATAATCATGAATGAGTTTTAATTTATGTCATAAACTCTCATAAAATCTTATATCCTTTATATAATCTTAAGAAACAAATTTTCCTAATTTTCTCTTATTTAAATTTGGTTCAACATAAAAAATATCTTGGATTAAAATTCTGATTTCTCTTTTATATTTCTTACATTATTTTTTAACCTACTTCAAAATAACCCGGAATTTCTCTTAAAAAGTATGAAACTGACAATATCTAATAATAATCTATTGCTGATGCAAAATTGTAAAATTCTTTTAATTTTTATTCTGCATTATTTATTCTATCTAAATTCAAATCTTTTAAATTATTTTCCTTCAAATATCTTATACAATAAATCTTATTCACTTATCCCTTTTTTATATAAATGAATGACTTTTTCTCTGTTAATTTTTATAAGTTTTCTGGATTCTCAAATAAATTATATCTCTTTGTTAAAATAGATTAGGTTTATCTAAAGTATGATATAATTAATCCATTCTCAAATATTTATATGATGCTTCTCTTAATTTATCTGGAGTATATTTTAAAAATACTTTTCTTACTTTCTTTATGATCTCTTCTTTTAAAGAAAGGGCTGGTTATTCTTAGAAGCATTAAAAATTCTGTAGAATTTTATAAATTTTTTCTCCAAACACCTTTTTTTTAACTTTCTTAGATTTTATCGATTTTTAGGAAATATTTTCAATTTTTTCTATTTATTATTAATCAATAATCAATGTTGTTTTTAATTATTTAACTCTCTTTGTAAAGTTAAAACTAACCCTGAATATAATCGTAGATATAATTTAATTAAAAAAACTCTTAACTAAATTACATAATGTCTTTTAATGTTCTAGTTTCTTTAATTTATATTTTTAAGAACCTTGTAATATAACTCATTAATGTTTCAAAAAAAATGTAATATCTTTTTTTATTGTGATAAAAGAAGGTAAAATATTAATTTTCTCATAAAATTCTTGAGTTATATAATAATTAAAATTTATGAATCCAGAACCTATTACTTATTCATCTTTAATTGTACTTAATATGAGTGCTTTTCCAAACTTATCACTATATACAAATGGATTTAGCACATTGAATTTCGAATTGAGATCTTTTCACTAATTGAGGGGTGATTTAGATCAAGATTACTAGAATTGTGTATTTAGAATAATTCCTGTTTTGAATTATAAGGCTCATGATGATCTTTTAAATTAATTTAAAGATTCAAATTTTAAAGATTTAGAAGGTTATGAATAAAGTTAAAGAAAACATAAAATTTAAACCATATTGTTGAATTTAGAAAATGAACTTACATCAAATATTTCATTAACAAAAAAATTAGCAGGTACTCCATTAGTATTTAGTTCATCAATATTTCATTTAGTTCATGTTTCTTCACTAAAATTCTTAGCATTAGATGATCAAAATTTGGAAGCATTGTAATTCAAATTGATTGACTTTCCAAACAATAATACATTATTAAAATTTAATCCATGTTTAAATTTTCAAAAATTAAGAACTAATTAAGTATATAGTGGAGATGTAGTATGTATATCAGCAAATAAGTAAGTATGTAATAGAACAGCAAATTTATTTACAGATTATTGGGGATTAAATTATTATGAATTATAAGATGAACCTTTAAAATATGAAGAAGAAGTTTCAAGAGCGAAAGTTATAGCTTCTGTTGAAGATTAAACTTAATGGAGAATCAAAATATTTTAAAATTAATAAGTGAATGATGAAGCTTTATTTGTAGGTGATGTAGCAATATTTCATTTACCAGAATCAAATGTATAAAATTTAATATCAATAGTTATATTTGAATGCAAAAAAAACCTAAGATATATAAGAAAAAGTCAAAGAAATTTTGGATCGTAATATTGTTGATGATATTAGTAATGTTATAACAGATAAATTCGTTTATAATAAATAATAGACACTCTTTCCAGGATAATAAGCTGTAATCTCAAGGTAAGTAAGTGAAGAAGTAGGAAAAAATGAATCAAAGAACTATAAATCAGATTCATAAAATAGTAATATTTTTTAAAAATAAAAATCAATACAATCTCGTTCTTCTTAAATTATTTAACCATCAAAAAACATTAAAGAAATTGATAAAGCTCTATACTCAGAACTTAAATTATATTTTACTAAATTTATTGGATAGAAATCTGATAGAGTTACAATTCCCTTTAGTGCTTATTGGAGAATTGAATCAGATAGTTTTACAGGAGGAGAAGTTAAATGGGAAAAATGTTATCGTATTAGACATTTTTAAACTGGCTAATATTTAGATGTTAATATAATGAGATAAATTAAACTTACAGAATAAGTTACAAAAAATACATTATTTTAATTTGTTCCTATTAAAAAAAATTCTAAATTCGTTGATAAAGAATCATATTTTTTAATAAAACATTTTTTAACTGGAAGTTACATAAATATAAGAAATGATCAAGAATTTGCAGAGGGATCTGTATGTATAACCTAAGATGTCGATTTAATTAATTGTATCAAATTTAGAAAAACTGATTATGAAGATATATGGGAAAAGAGATTCTTGGTATTTTTAGTACCTATTTTAAAAGAAGCAATATCTTATTTTGAAATGCTTTAACCTCTTACAAGTATAGCATGCATGAAAAATAGTGAAGTCTAAGAAAGAATTGATTTTTATTACCTTTTTGAAAAACTTAATTCTTTACTTGAAATCTTGAATCAATTTATGTTTAATAAGTTAGTGAGTAACATTTAAACAACCCAAGATTTTTCATTTGTATCTTAAAATAGACAAGATATTATTAGAGAAGAAAATATATTACCTTTACTTATATGGTTAATATGTAAAACATTCCCTAATCCTGATGAAAAAATAGAAGGAACTGAAAAAAATTTGATTAATGATTTAAAAGGTGAGAACTCCTTTATTTTGAGTTTTCAAACTATGATTTAATAAAAATTAGATAAAACTAATGATGTAGGATATGAAAAAAAATTATAAAAGTTAAAAGAATAATTAGAAGAGAATCATAGAAAAAGAAAACGCCTATTATAATTAAAGTTATTTTAAACAATAAAAATAGCATGCCACAATAATGTATAAAATTAAGAAATTCTTATGAAATTTTTTAAACATTTTGAGAAATATATTACGCATGATTACATATGTACAACAATAAGCTAATGTATAACAACAAATTATCAAATTTTAAGTTTACTAAATAAATAAGAAATATTATATGAGATGAAATCTACAATGAATATCAACGCTTCAGAATAAAAAAATTATAAAAGCCAAAGTACAATTTTATCAAGACTATTGGATATAATTTCAAAAAGTGATCAACTTCTACCATAATTATTGCATTTTCTATCGGAAACTTGTGAAGCAAATGGTGAACCTGTATTTTCTAATTAAGAATATTTATTAAATAGTATTTAAGCAATGAATTAAAAGGTTAGAAATGAGAATGGAGAGGAAAAGTTTTATATGAATTTAGAACCATTATAAGAAAAAGAAGGAAGTTATATAGAATTTTATATTACATATAAAACATCAAATAAAACTTATGTAACAAAAATGTTACATGATTTTTTAAATGATTATAGATAAAACAAAGATTAAGATCATTTATATGTAGTGTAATACAATTATTTAATTGAATAATTGGCATTTTTTTCAAATATTTGTTTTCATAGAAATACAGCAGCAAGAGAATTGATATCTAAAACATTTACCTATTCCTTTTTATTGTCATATGCTGAATAAAATAATGATTTATCTAATTTAAATGGAGACTAATATTTTGTTGATGAATAAGTTCGAGCGTATTTTTTTAGAATGATTCGAACTCTTTACATTGATAGGGAACCTTACACAACAACTCCAAAACCAGAATTAGTGAGAATTTTAGAAGAAAAAACAACATAAAAAACTATGTTTCTATTTGATGAAACATCAAGTTAGAAATAAGAAAAAGGAGAATTCGATATCTAAAAGTTGAAATTGAAAATGCTTAAGTATTTAGAAGATTAATCAGAAAAATTAAAGAAAAATTTAGGAGAAGAAACTGTTTATAATTTAGAAACATTAGAAATTATTAAGATTTTAGAATTGATGCTTAAATTTGAATTATTTTGGAAAAGAGATGTTGAAGGACCAATACAAAAAAAGAGTATAAATAAACGAGGAACATCTTTTTATAATAAAATATCAGAAAATGGTGTAGGAATTAAAGAAATTGATAGATTAATTACTGCATTATCAACAATTTTGGAATATGATCATTAATACTTTAAATGTTTAGATAATGCTTAAATCAAAAGAAACTGGGAATCTGAAAATGAAAAGGATAAAGGATTTATGAAATTCAATATATCAGGTATAAGTTAAGTATTTGAAAATTAGAATAAGGAAAAAGATGAATAATCATAATCAAATCAGAATTTTAGATAAGTTAAATAATAAGATACAGAAGTTGTTAATGATTCATTATTTAAGAAAATGAAAAATCTTAGAAAAGTTTTATAAAGATACAATAATAAAACATTTACCTTAAGAGAAAACAAAGAAGAAGACTTTTAAGTTTTGATTAAAATATAGATATGTTAAATATTTTCTTATTTAATGGATGTATCACAAGATTATTGGATAGATAATGCTTTAGAGTATTATAAATCTCTATAGTAAAATAAATAATTGAATGAGGAAATTAAAGATGAAGACTTAGTTAAGTTATTTCCAGAAGAAATATTAATGTCAGGAGAATAATGGGTAGACAAACCAGATAGTGATAGAAGAATAAATAAAACATTAGCTCCCGTTTTAAAAAGTTTTGATGAAGTCTTAAGAAGACCATTTATAGAAGTATTACTAATTTCTTTGTATTTTTCAAGAAACCCATAATTAGAGAATCAAATAGTTGAATTAATTTAAAGGTTTGCTAGATAAAAAAAAGAATTCTTACAACATTTTGACAATATATAGATTTTAGATACTAATGAGTCATAATAATTGTTTAATGTATGGGTTTAAATGACATCTATATTAAAAAATAATGTTCAAAGAAGTTAAACATGGATTACAGAAAATAACAGAATTATGAATCAAACTCTATAATGTCTATGGAAAATAGATAGTATATTTTAATAAACAGAAAGTGTTTCACTAAAATTAAAATAATAAATATTTGAACATATAGGTGGTTATGAAGTCTTAATTGAATTGATATACAAAGCTTTAACAGTTATTGATTAAAAAACTTTTCCTCCAGATTTAATTATATTATTAAAACATACTATGACTATTATGTCTTATTTTGCCAAAGATAATGAAAGAAATTCTTTAACTGTTTATAAAAAGGTTGTCAGTAAAATTATTTCGAATACCAATTAAAATATTGGCTAAATAACTTTGATTTGTTCATTATTTGAAAAGAAACCAACTTTATATGGGTAACTTGGATAATAAGAATATGATTATTTTATTAAATTAATAAAAGAACATGGAAGATATCCTGAATTTTTGTAATTTTATTTAGAAATTATAGAAGTTACAGAAATATATTCAAAAAAGTCAGTTGATATGTTCGAAATTATAATAGAGAAATTAACAGAACCTATTGCACATGATTAAGATGATTAAAATCCATTATATCCATTTTAACCTTCTAGTAAAATCACAGGCTTTTTTGATTATACTCCTAATAAGACTAAATACTAATTTTATTTCATCAATATAATATCAAAATGTTTGTCAAAAAAAATAAGAGCTTCACTTATTAGTTAGGCTATTGAATTTTTAAAATTGTATGATCTTTTAGATCAAACATTATTAATAACATAAAGAATATTAGGGTCTATTAAATAAAAAGAGAAGCCTCATCCTGAAGACATTTAATTATAAAATGATTATTGGAACATTATCAAAACAATGGTATTTCATAAACCAGAAAAACTTGATGAACTTATGCTTCCTATAAATTCCGAAATTCTTAATAAAATACTTACTGATGAACATAAGGCAATCAAACTTAAAGATTAATTTATACCTTAAAATTTAAATTATTTGTTTGATTCATTATTACCTGTTGTGAATAGATATAATGAATTATTACAAAATGCCTTATTATCATCTGAAAAAGACTAACGTTAAATAAGCGAATTTGTATCTTTTTTTTTAGAAAATCTTGATAAAATGTTTTTTTTGGCACCAGCAGAATTAACTAATAATAAATAAAGATTAAAAACTATATCTGATTTGGGTTAATGTTTCAATATATAGATACCAATAAAATTCTTTTAGCCAGATCCTAATATCTCCTAAGATGAAAAAACTATGGATATACAAACTCAATATAATATTACCCCAGAAAATTCATCAATAAACTAATTTCGAAAAAAATGTTTTGGATAAGAGTTTGTTAAAGAATTAGTTAAAAAAGAATCATTAAAATTGTCAAATTCGATTTGGACAATCCAAAACATGTTTAAAGATGACAAAAGATAAGAGGTAAAGGATCTTTTATTGACAAATTCAGATATTATAGTTAAAATTTTGACTTATTTAGAATTTTGGAAAACAAATGGAGCAAGTAGAGAGAATATTATCTTTATTCTTAAAGTATTATCAGCAATACTAAAGGATACAGAAAATGAATTATATGAGAGATAAGTACTATTTAATAGAATGAATGCAACTTAAATATTGATTGTATTATTATGTGAGGCTGAATTAGAACCAGTTTATATGGGTACTATAATGTCATTTATGATCTTACTTCTGAGAAATGGAAATTAACACGTTTAAAAAACTGCATATGAATATTTTTTATCAAATACCTAATGCGAAAAGTTTTTTAAATAACTCAAGAATGTTCTTGATATCTAAATATTATCAATGAGTAGAGCTCATAAACTTAATTATCAAGAAAATAAATTAGTTTGCAAAGCTTTAAAATTAATATAATTATTTTGTGAAGGTCATAATTAAGATCTTTAAAATTATATGAGATCTTAAAGTAATTAGAAAAATAGTTTTGATTTAGTTTCTTAGATTGTATTATTGCTATCTACTTTTTAAATTTCAAAAGCAAATTTCGAAAGTGTTTTATAATGTTTTGAAACTCTTACAGAACTAATTCAAGGACCATGTAAATAAAATTAATAAACCTTACTTAAAAGCAGTCTTTTAGAGTATGTTGTCCTGATTTTATCAGAAGATGAAAAAATATTTGAATAATCAAATGAATTTTTCAAATATGATGGGGAAAAATAATATAAATTAGCAATTCATCCAGGGTAATTGGCTAAATTAAAATTTAAATGCTTAAATTGTTTAGTATCATTATTAGAATGTTGTGAGCCTTAAAATTCTGATATTGCTAGATTAGTAAGAGTTATTCCATTAAGTGTTTTAACAAACAATTTAACAAGGGTTTATAAATTATTTAAAAATTAATTTGGAGCAATTTATAAAGAGGAGATATTTAAAAGAGCTGAGAATGAAATAACTAATGAATTACCTGCATAAGAATAAGAATTTATTATAGAGAATGGATTTTATATATTTTTATTGATCTAATAATTTCTTGGAAATTAAAAAGCTAAATAATTGTTATATGAAGATCCTGAAATGAATGATGTATTAAATGAATTTGCTGAAAATAATGAAAAAGAAGAAGATAATGCAATAGCAAATATATTTTCAGGATTAGAAAATATAGCTAAAATGGGAGGAAATCTAATAGGATAAATAGGATTGACTTAAAAATCAGAAGAAGAAATGCGATAAGAAAAGTTACTTTAAGAAAAATTAGAGTAAAAAGAGTTAACAAAAAATGCAATAAAGTTTTTTAGATAAAACACTTGTTCAATTGATATGATAAGAGATTAAAAGCTTTATACAATTTATTTTCCAAAATTACCAATTTGCAAATTACCTAAAACTGCAAGAATGGAATTTCATGATTAAGTTGATAGGACTAGCAGTAAGACAAAATTAACATATTTAATGGAAAGAGCAAATTTTCTAATAAAGGTAATGGAATATGAAGAAAAATTGAATTAAGTATTTGCTAAGAATCCTATTTTCGCATTTTTCGCAACATCTGGAAAATTATGGGAGAACTGTGCATTTGTAACAACATTAGTTATAAATCTAATTGTATTATTAAGTTACTCATAATCATTTTATAATGAAGGTGCTTCTGATTCTACAGGTGATTTGATATACGAAAGATTACAGGATCCTAGATTATTGGAATATTCAGATTTTAAGTGGACACCTATCTTAATACAAGGATTGGGAATCACAATGTTAGTCTTTAGTTCTTTAATAGTATTTTTCTTTATAGTGAAAAGAGCACCTCTAAAAGTTGATCATATTTGGGAAGATTATCAAAAACCAAAGACAATAATGAAAATGATTGGAGATCTAAGTATAAGAGGAATAAAAAGTTTAATAATTTTATTATAGGATCCAGATATTTTATATTATTGTATTTATATTATTGCTGGAATTGTAGGATTAACAGTGCATCCATTTTTTTTTGCTTTTCATTTGATGGATTTCTTGAAGTTAGAACAATTAAAAACTGTTTTAGATGCCATCTGGGGCCCAAGATAAGAAATAGGATTAGCACTTTTATTATTGGCTGTAGTTGAGTACTATGTGGGAATTCTTGGGTTCGTTATATTTTTTAATGATTATCCAATAGTAGATGGAACAAGCTGTAGAATACTATCTGACAATGATTAAATAATTTGTGAAAAAGGATGTAGTACATTATGGTAATGTGTTTTTATGAGTTTTGATTTGACATTCAAATTCACAGGTGCTTTAGGAGTAGCAATAAAGGATTATGATACAATTACAGAAATATCATAAAAATATGATATGGTAGAAAATGGTTGGGATAGATTAATCTATTCATAAAATGAATATGATGGAGTTTTTCATAGATATACTTCTAATTACTTTAGTCGTTTTGTTTTTGATAATGCAGTTAATATTGTATTGGTGATGATTATGCTCAATATGATACAAGGTATTATTGTTGATACTTTTGGTTCATTGAGAGAAAAACTTCAAGAAAGAATTAAAGATTAAACTATGAAATGTTTTATATGTGGTATCACAAGAGAAAAATTTGAAAAAAATGATGAAGGAGGAGGCATGGGTTTTTAGGAACATATTGAATTAGAACATTACATGTGGAATTACATTTATTATTATGCTTATTTGAAACACAAAGATGAAAATGACTATAATGGAAATGAATCCTATATATAATCTAAGATAGATCTCAAGGATATAAGTTGGATGCCTATTAAAAGGTAATATTTAATTCAAATTTTTAGAGCACGATTTGCTGAAGAAGAAATGGATGATTAATAGAAGGGTAATGAAATCTAGGAAGCTATTGAAATTAAAATGAAAGCCTTGAATGATTCATTAGAGAAGATTTAAGATCGAATGAAACATTTTATTGACATTATAAATAATCAACCTGTTAGTATGACAGAAACCTTTCATTGATAAATATTTTTAGAAAATATGACTTATTAACTCATTTATTTATAGTGATCAAACTTTCTACATTAAGATTTAAATATTCATAATAACTCTATGTTAAGAGACTTTATTTAATTATTTTAATAATTTTTTTTAATATTTTATTTAGTCAATATATTTCAAATAAAAGAAAAATTCAGAAAAGAAAAAAAAACGTATAAATTTATTAATAATTTAAGATTTTGAACAAAGAATGATAAAAATAGTAAATAATCAAGCAAGATAACTAAATTTTTCAATTTAAAATATCAAAGTCAACATCAAATAATTATGACATGGTCACTAAGCAATATATCTGAAACTATTAATTAATGAAACCTCTAAAAAAGAGTTAATTTACAAATAGAATATATTTTATGATGAATTGATGTATCATTATAAGGATTATTTTTTATTGAAATAATATTTAACATTTATTTCAAATTACAAAAAATATTGCCTTTATAATGAATTTTTCGTATCCAATTTTTTTAATTAAAATTATATATGCGCGTTAGCTTATATTGTTATGCATTTATTTTAATATTGGGATGCCACTTTGTTGAAGGAAATCAAAGAATTTTAGCAGAGTCCACTCCTTCTAGTACGAGATGGCAATTTGATTAATTTTCTACTCAGGTGGAATAGAATATGTAAACACTTGTCTTTCCAAATAAACAATTATTATTTGTGTAGAGCCTCGTGGATGAAAATGAAAAGAAATCCATCATTTTATAAAAATATGAGAGAGATGAAACAAAAATTGGAAATGAACTAAAATTTGGTGATTTAAATACAGAATGTACAAGGCCTAAAGTGACGTTAATAAGCAATATTGGGTTTGCTTTAAGTTGGATTGAAAAAAAGATAGAGACAACCAAATTGTGTATATAAATCATAAATTTTGATTTAAATCCAATCATCTAAAAACAAGAAATTAATGATATTCATTTAGAAGTTCATTGGGATTTTGTATCAGAATTTCATTATATTTATTATATTAATGAAACTAAGTTATTAATTCTGTACAAAGGTCCTAATAATACAAAAATATGGCATGGAACCATTTATGACTACTAAGATAATACTAGAACATCTGATGTTAATTTGATCTTTTCTAAGTAAGTGTCTATTGCTGTAAATTAATTATTAGTTATTGTTTTAATACAAAAGATAGAAGATACTTATAGTAATTAAGTTACTATTTTAAATTATGATGGATAAATTTAAAGAACTTTTAAATTATATTAATAGTCTTATGATATTTAAAATTTTTAACCAAAAATTACAGCACTTTCAAATAATAATTTTGTGGTTGTTTAACCTTATTACGATTAGATAGCACTTTATGTATACGATAATAGATTTCAAGCCATTCTTAATAATAACTTGAATAATTATTATTATGGAACACCTGATAAACCTCCTGGTTCTACTTATCCTTCTTGGGAAGATTATAACTATTTTAGAAGTGGATTGATTTAATTATAGGCTTTGGAAGATTCATTTGTTATTGTAGGCGTGGATCCTTATAATTTTATTTTTAATCTAGTTCATTTAAATAACAAGAATTTAGAATTTATTTAACAAAGAGTAATTAATTATGAAGATTTGAATATTTATAAATATTCAATTTAAAGATCAGGTAGAAATTCTATTTTTGTATAATGGATTGATGGAATGCCAGAAACCCTGCTTCCTTAGTATAAGTAAAATTTATACTTATCTGAATTAAACTTATAATTGAATATTGATGATTGTGGTGCTAATTGTGATACTTGTCAAAATGGTTTATGTAAGCAGTGCTTATAAAATTTTTCTTTGGTTGATAATATTTGTTAGCCATAATGCATTTAAAATTGTTAGAAATGCTCAAATTAAATTGCATGTGAACTTTGTCAAGAGGGATTTATTTTAACTGGTATGCTTTAATGTATTGAGAATAATAGTAATAGTATATCAAATGGAGAATTAAGAGTCAGTTTCTCTGAAACAACATTTAAAGAAAATTCTAAATTCACATTATTACCTGATAGAAGAGTTATTATAATCTATTAAGAACAAAACTAAGAGTAGCAATTTTTATAAATAAAAGTCTTGAATGCAATAGGCTAAACAATCTTATAATAATCATTAGATGGTGAAGATGTCTTGAATTTTGATTTATTCTATAAAGAAAATGTTCTACATTTATATTTGTTAAAAAAAATCTCAAAAAAAATAGGAATTATCTACTTTTAGTTGCAATTATCAGACTTACAATAAATCAAACAAATTTAATTATACGGTTAAGAAGACGAAGGTTCATATAGTATCTCATAATTAATAACAGTTTTTAAAGTAGTAGATGCAAATTAAGTTTTTACTATTTTTATATAGGGAGGCTTTTAAAATTATTATTATCAAAAAGTTCTATCTTTTACTTATGATTATAATGGTAACCTAAAAAATTCACATTTTTTTGCGGAAATCAATATGGGAAACATATTTCATTATTCAAGAAAGAAAGTTTTTGATGCAGCTGTTGATGGCATCGGAAATATTAATGTATTAATAACAAGAGAATGTGAAACAATATTATATGTATTAGATCAATTGGGAGGGATAATCTATTAAAATTATTAAAGTTATTGGAATCGATGGAATTGTAGATTTTTATAAAATCCATCTATTTCGGTTGTTCCTAAAACAAACTAACTAATGATAGCTATTTAAGATTTAAATAACTAGCTGTTTGTTTTTATATGGAAAGAAGATGTCTTATATTTCTCTTAATTTAATTAAAAGGAAAGCAATCCTTAATTAAAAGCTTTAAATTCAAATAGTTTTGTATTAATTTATGAACAATACTATTTAGATGGCAGTTTTAAAACATTAAACTATATACATTAAGAGAATGGAATCATTAAAAATAAATTAATATTAAATTAGAATTCCATTCAACCTGGATTCGTTGAAATAGAAAGTTTTGATTAAAAATATTTATTCTTCACTATGATAGCTTTTAAAAATAGTGGAAACTTATCTACTAATTAACTATATCTTTAATAGATATCTGTAGAAGAAGATTAATTAGTTGGACTAATCAATATGTGTGAAGAAAACTGTTTATAATGTGATAATAACTTAAAGTGTTCATAATGTAAGGCTAATTATGTTTTAGATACTCAAAATAAGTGTTCATTGGTTTGTTTAGCTAATTGTTCTAATTGTGAGAAAGTAGATCAATGTGAGATATGTAATGAAGGATATTAATTAAATAATGATAGAGAATGCAATTAAACATAGTTAAATTCTTATGTTAAATTATAAGACCACTTAAATCGAATTGAATCAAATTCATAAATTGCTATAGCTAAAAATGGAAATATAATAGTAGCTTGGATGGAACACAACATCGTTGAAAATAAATACTATTCATTTTTTAAAGTATTTAATCCTCATGGGGAATAAATAAAAAATGAGTTCATTGAATATGATAATTCAATGTTACCCAAAGTTAAGACTTTTGGAGAATATTTCCTTTTTTCTTTTTTTAGATATAGAGAAATCTTTTTTAATATAATGGATTCCAATGGTAATTTCATAACATACTGGAGAATCATTTATTATTGTAATGATGATATGAATTGGGATGAAATAAATTAATTTTAATATGATATAGCAACATATATTTAAAGTCACATTATTCTTGTAGTTCAAAAGAAAATTTCCTAAAATCATTTTGGGATTAAATTAATAAGATTCTCTTTTATTTATTTCAATCAAGAAATAAAATAAGAGACATTTAGAGATTATGATACAAATAGCCAAAGAATTAAAAACCTAGAAATATAAATTGATGCCAATTTCATTTATTATTAATTTTAACGCTTTTAAATAGATGCCTCAACTTTTAATTAAGCAAGTACTATTTTTGTATAATTAAAATATAATCTTGAAGAATATTATTATAAATAAGAGATGGGTTTGGAAAGTTTCTATAAAATCTTAACGTCTCAAACTAAAATTTAATTTATAAAATATGAGAGAGATTTTGAAATAAAATATTTTTAGTACAATTCTTAAATTTAAAGTTAATATATATCAACTGGAATGGTAATTGATAGTATAAAGGCTGCTTTATATTAAGATTAAATTGTAGTATTATGGATTGGATATGAAACGGATTAAAGAAAAATGTTTATTTAATCATTTTCAATAAATGGAACAATATCATCAACATAAGTTTAATTGCCTGTTTTTAGTAACTATCCAAGCAATCCTTAAATAGGATGTTTAGAAAATGGAGATACATTAATTACATGGTAAGAATCAGAGGCTTCAGAATACACAATATTCGCAGTCAAATTTAATAAACATTTGTAACTAATACCACTCACTTCAGTGGCATGTATGTAAAATTGTGAAACCTGTATGACAACAACTTCCTGTTCAAGATGTACTTCAAATTATTATTTTGATGGAATTAAATGTAAATTATAGTGTGATTCATATTGTTAACAATGTACTGTTAGAAATGTTTGTGATATCTGTTAACCTGGTTATTATTTAAAAGATAATTATTGTTAATTTGATTAAATAATGGTCGAAGAATAGCGTATAACAAAAATAGAAGATTATTAATTGACTAGAACTTCAATAAGTAGTTTTCCCGATAGTAGTTTTGTAGTTGTCTGGAATGATAAATTGAATTCTATCTAAACATTATATTTTTAGTTTTATGACAACAATAGATAAAAATAAGGAGAAGTTAGGCCTATATTTTGGTAAAATGATAGATAATATGCATAAGTTGTTACTTTAGCTAATGATAAATTCTCAATAGTTTGGTTTGAGGGAGATTGTAATATCTAATGTAGATTAGTTCTTCAAATTTATAATAAGGAATTAATAGAATAAATTACTGAAGTAACAATTGATAATTTAGCATTACCAAATGTCTATGATTAAAAACCTGTTGTTTTAAAAAGATAAGACAATAG